AGCATGGTCGACCTGCTGCAGGACAAGCTTTCCGCATAAGCAACATATATTAACGGAATTAATTGCGCAACGAGCTCTGATACCACTGTTGGGAATCGGGCAAGTGTATGCAACATGAATTTAATAATATATATATATGTATATATATATATATATATATATATATATATATATACATATATATATATATATATACATATATATATATATATATATTCATATATATATATATATATATACATATATATATATATATATATATATATATATATATATATATAATTTAATCATATTAAATTAACACCTATTAAAAATCGGATCCAAAAATTATCTCTTGAAGCATGAGGCGAACTTTCGGATTGATGCAAGCTGCCACAAAAACCAATATGTGCAGTCGGGAGGAGCGGCGACGGCGGACGTGCGGGCAGCGGCGGCACGTGCAGTTCATGCGCTGTCTTCGGGCGGCGCGCGAGGGCGCGTGTAGTGGCGTTTCGGCGAGGGCTTCTCGGAAATTTGACTCTCTTTTCTTCCTCCTCTCGTATACTGAGTTCAACTAGTACGGGGCACTAGGCACGCGAAAGTGAGGATAAACGGAAGAATAAAACAAAGAAAAGAGTACCAAGAACAAAACGGTGCGTGTGGCGCCAATTTCCGGCGACGGCGGCGACTGAGGCGCTGTGGAGATGGCATCAGACTAGGGTATGAGCGGCTAGGGTTTGTTGCTTCTTATACAAGACCTATAAATCTTGTATTATAGTATCTTGTATATAAGCACTAACGGGCTTAAGTTGGACCGGGCCCAACATCTTAAGTTCGTTAGTTTTTCTTCGCTCATTTCTCATAAACAAATGATTGGAAAATTACAATAATTATATTTTTGGAATCATTGAAACATCCTCGTCATTATGAATGCCAATTCTCGATTTATAATTTCTAAAAATGGAAGCCCTAATTAATGGACCTGCTAAATTTAGAAACTTCCTAATTTAGAAAGTCACTAAGATGATCGCCTAGTTCTTTCCTTTTCTTTTTCTCATTCATAATTCCCAATCATGAATGTTGGACTCAATCGTATTGACTTCCAATTATGCAAAGATTAAATATTTTTATCTTTGACCGTTTATTCAAAGAACTCGAGTACAAAAGCAGTGTGACCCTCGATGGTTCAGGTGTAAGCTAGCCGTGGGCCCACAACTCTTTATGGTTTAAACTCGTCCCTATAGTTATAAATAAGATGAAGCTCGTTTCAACTTAATCACCCAACGAATAAAGATTGGCGTCTAGCAACAACGCATCATGATTCTCTACATACAAGTGAAGTTCTTGTAAGAACCGTGTGATATAGTTAACGTACAGTACGATCCCTTCGATACATATATCCCGATTGAACTAGAGGCATTGGTTCATCGAGATCTCCTTTATAGTTCAGTAACTGTACGATCGTTCTAAGTGTTGTAACCGGAACGTGCATGACTTAGAGAATCAAATTCCCTAATCATCACCTAGTCAGCTGTGGTCAGAGACTTAAATATTAGAAACTATGAGAACACATAGGACATCCAATACTATTCTCGCGATCGAATCCCCGACTACAATGCACAGACCTCCCACTAGATTTTGGATTGCACGAACACTGGCCCTTGGGGTGGTCCTCGGTGGAACTCAGGGACATGTCATGATACAGCTGGTCCTCTAGTGAAGTCACGGTGGTGTCTAGGCCTTAAGGACTAATGGTGTACAACTATATCGTAGAGATATCTACTCGATTATTGAGAACCACTTAGAGATTTCTAGGATGAGAGAGTTAATTGAACTCGTCAACTTACGAGCACCTACTTATGTATGGTGATATCACAATACCGTTTACTGATGAGATGCAGTACACATACACTAAGTGATAGTCTCTTAATGGGAAAGGCCGATATCCTCATTGGTGGCGTAACCCTTCGACTAGGAACATGGTTGAACATTTATAACACTTAAGTAAATATCTCATTATCCTAATAGATGAAATATAAGTAGTTATAATAACTGTAAGGACTATATCTATGCTTATGAAAGGGACAAAGATATATCATGCCAGGTGTTGTATCATTCACAAGAAAAAGCGATATGTATCAGTTCAAA